CACCACGCATACACAACACACAGCACCACGCATACACAACACACAGCACCACGCATACACAACACACAGCACCACGCATACACAACACACAGCACCACGCATACACAACACACAGCACCACGCATACACAACACACAGCACCACGCATACACAACACACAGCACCACGCATACACAACACACAGCACCACGCATACACAACACACAGCACCACGCATACACAACACACAGCACCACGCATACACAACACACAGCACCACGCATACACAACACACAGCACCACGCATACACAACACACAGCACCACGCATACACAACACACAGCACCACGCATACACAACACACAGCACCACGCATACACAACACACAGCACCACGCATACACAACACACAGCACCACGCATACACAACACACAGCACCACGCATACACAACACACAGCACCACGCATACACAACACACAGCACCACGCATACACAACACACAGCACCACGCATACACAACACACAGCACCACGCATACACAACACACAGCACCACGCATACACAACACACAGCACCACGCATACACAACACACAGCACCACGCATACACAACACACAGCACCACGCATACACAACACACAGCACCACGCATACACAACACACAGCACCACGCATACACAACACACAGCACCACGCATACACAACACACAGCACCACGCATACACAACACACAGCACCACGCATACACAACACACAGCACCACGCATACACAACACACAGCACCACGCATACACAACACACAGCACCACGCATACACAACACACAGCACCACGCATACACAACACACAGCACCACGCATACACAACACACAGCACCACGCATACACAACACACAGCACCACGCATACACAACACACAGCACCACGCATACACAACACACAGCACCACGCATACACAACACACAGCACCACGCATACACAACACACAGCACCACGCATACACAACACACAGCACCACGCATACACAACACACAGCACCACGCATACACAACACACAGCACCACGCATACACAACACACAGCACCACGCATACACAACACACAGCACCACGCATACACAACACACAGCACCACGCATACACAACACACAGCACCACGCATACACAACACACAGCACCACGCATACACAACACACAGCACCACGCATACACAACACACAGCACCACGCATACACAACACACAGCACCACGCATACACAACACACAGCACCACGCATACACAACACACAGCACCACGCATACACAACACACAGCACCACGCATACACAACACACAGCACCACGCATACACAACACACAGCACCACGCATACACAACACACAGCACCACGCATACACAACACACAGCACCACGCATACACAACACACAGCACCACGCATACACAACACACAGCACCACGCATACACAACACACAGCACCACGCATACACAACACACAGCACCACGCATACACAACACACAGCACCACGCATACACAACACACAGCACCACGCATACACAACACACAGCACCACGCATACACAACACACAGCACCACGCATACACAACACACAGCACCACGCATACACAACACACAGCACCACGCATACACAACACACAGCACCACGCATACACAACACACAGCACCACGCATACACAACACACAGCACCACGCATACACAACACACAGCACCACGCATACACAACACACAGCACCACGCATACACAACACACAGCACCACGCATACACAACACACAGCACCACGCATACACAACACACAGCACCACGCATACACAACACACAGCACCACGCATACACAACACACAGCACCACGCATACACAACACACAGCACCACGCATACACAACACACAGCACCACGCATACACAACACACAGCACCACGCATACACAACACACAGCACCACGCATACACAACACACAGCACCACGCATACACAACACACAGCACCACGCATACACAACACACAGCACCACGCATACACAACACACAGCACCACGCATACACAACACACAGCACCACGCATACACAACACACAGCACCACGCATACACAACACACAGCACCACGCATACACAACACACAGCACCACGCATACACAACACACAGCACCACGCATACACAACACACAGCACCACGCATACACAACACACATGACCCTAGCTGTAGATAGAACGTTGAACAAAATGAAAACAAAACAAACATCATGAAACCCAACAAAATAAAACGGTGGCGAAACCAAATGTGCTAGAATAGTAGGTATTTTCTGAAACACGTCTGGATTTCTTCCCTAAATTGCAGAAATGATACAACCAAATAAATATACTTTCAGTGGAAAATCTAATTTCGTGTGTTGAAGCTTACCTTGTAAAAAAGTAGTTTCTATAAGGAACAATGTAAGCTTCAACACATACAAAACATAGCTACGATGTTTATTTGGCGGCTATACGAAAAACAACTATGAAATATGGTAGAATCCATTTTAATGTGTGCAAATAATAGTTTTAAAAGACAATCGCCTTACAAAACCTTAAGGTTACGCTCTGTTAAGTTTTCTGCAACCTTAAAATTGCAATGATGAAATTGAAAGCTCTGTACGCGCCAAATTTTGGATGACACAAGTAGGCTTTTAGTCTGAGCCATACACGTACATCAATCGAATCAGGTGGCAGCGTAACGGTAAAATTGACCGGAATTGAAGTCGAGGATCGTGCCATTGTAATCTTTCCCAGAAAGGTTTCAACCTTGTGATTGATAGTTTTTATATCTTGTACTTTTTTGGGGGTGCAGAGAAAGAAAATGAGCGTAACCTGTAATTTCGTGGATGAAAGAAACTACATTTGTATGTTCATATACTCCATGAAATATGAACATAATTGAAAATCATTATACAAAAAAACATTTCTGTAAACAAAGACAACATATTCATTTGAACATCACCAAAATTAACATCATTATCAAGAGAATGTTTGGAATGCCCCTAATGCAGTATGATGACTTTGATAAATTTGCCATACCTAAATGCACAATTTCTCGAAACACACAAGAACAAAGTTGTGTCTATTTATAGGAAATTAATATCATTACATTTTTATCAATAAATAAATGCAAATCAAAGGCGACAGAGCCGGAATCACTGAACTGGATATTTGTTTGCAATTATCACAAAAAAATCTCATTAAAAGTACTATTGCAAATAGATTCCCAAGTATTTGGCCGGACCCGTCAAAAGAAGGAATCCACCATTGTTTGCATTACCAGTTATCTCGCTGAAGCGTGAACGACGCAATATGTGACACAAGCATCATTCAGAAGAACTTTTTATTCATTGCGTTTACATTTTTTTATATGAAGTCAGAGTTTACTAAGATGAATAAGGAAGATATGTTAATATGTTGTTACATGTATAGGGGTGGGATCCCAACCTTTTCCATGTTATAACCCATGGATTATCTTGGTTGTACAATGTATGACTATATTCGTTTCTTTATGCCCAGCAGAAGCATAAATGTTTGATAAACAGCAGGGGTCATTTTAGGACGTGCCTCCATGCGTGTTGTGTATGCTTGCATATGTGTACGCCGGAGACAGGGTATGTAGGTATATTTTCCTCCTTACGTGATAGCATGGATCTGATGCCGACTTTATAGTGATATCTCACTGAAATACCATGACAAAGGCACCCGTCAGATGTCGACCATTTGTGGTTTAAACGGTTCTACAATCGAAAGATCGCCAGCATAACACATCTAATATATTGTGCTTCTGATTGTTAATTGACTAGTTTAAAAAATCTTATGCACTTAGCCTAAGCTTTCCGATTACTTGCCTGCAGGTAGGGCGTAAGAATTGTACCTGCTGTCCCCTATTGCATGATCGTAAGAGGCGACTAAATTTTGGACATTATCCCCTCTCTCCTTTCTAAATAACTTTCTTCTTCCTAATGTCTCCCTTGACAATACCTCACTTATGGCCATTTGTTGAGCGTTCGCCCCTGTGAGGAAGGCTTTGTTGGGTTTTGTCCCCTGGCTGAGACATACCAAAGTCTTTAAAAATGGTAGTTTCTACTCCTGCGTAACGCTCAGCAAATTAGGAGTGGGTCGACTGGTTCGCCCGTTGTCAGTATAATGTGACCGGATGGGGCGTCCTGCTGGGTGTCTTCGGCAGTATGTTTCAGTGAGGTAGCACTATAAAGTCGGCATCAGTTCCGCGCTATCACAAGGAGACAAACACAAACATATCGCAGCCTCCCAAATTACACACGCATATACTACACGCATGCATCTTGCACACAGGGGAGACCGTCCTTAAATGACCATAGCTGTTAATAGGACGTTAAACAAAATAAAACCAAACCAAACCAAACCGATTACTTGCTTTGTGATTAACTTGCTGGTAGGTATTTCCTGAGTAACTGCTGATGAGTTTCACCTTATTTACTAACGAACAACACCTTGCGTGTACCAACAAACGTCCAGTCTTCTATGTAGCCAATGAGCGTCGCATGACTGAATTATTGAATTCACAGAAAGAATCAGAAAAAAATCACCTTTTTAACTACTGAATTTCTCTTACAGGCAAACGTTAACAGGATTTCTTAAAGGGTGACATTTTTATGATTTTTTTCTGCCTCGATGAATATTGTTCAGATCAGATTCGTAATTCATTGTAAGATCTCACCAGAAGTCTATAGTAGTATTTTATTGGATATGTATATCGTTCGCGCTATATTTGTTTTCTTGTAGAGTCACATGACAAATATGCAGAAGTTCTTCGTTCCAGTGGTTGTCGAAGTCAATTTTGTTTTACCAAGAGATGTATTAAAAGTGTTTAATTAACGTTGAATTGGCTATTGCCTGATATTCAGTATGCAATTTGCGATTTGAAATTGTCAGTACGCTCCAAATAGGAAATTTGACATCCGTCGGTAAAATAAAATCTGAAGATGAAAAACTCTTTAAACAAGATTCGTCAGAGTATAAAAAAAAGCTTTATTAAAAGGAGTTGTCATAACAAGCCATACAAATGTAATAACAACGTTCTTCAGTTGATGTTTACACATAGTTACCCTTTGACAATATCGAGAAAAAACATCAAATAGCTGCACATTTAATATATATATATATATACATGTAGAAACAAAAATATCGTGATGGTTAAGTATAATTAATGACATAATAGTTTTCTGAGTACCTCCCTAGTACATTCACCACCTTTATAAAAACGTTCCTCAATTCCTATGTTACACATGGCAAACCTTTGACAATACCATAAGAAGGCATGGACTAGATGAACAATTGAATATATCTACATAAAACACCCAAAGTCTCTGTGATGATCAAATAAAAACAAATTAACAAATAATTGTTTTCGTACCTCCCTAGTACCTCTTTCGAGGTTCATTAAGGAAATCAAATATTTCTTATCATCTTCGACGGTGGGTATTGAGATCGTTGCACTATTTTTTTTGTAATTATAGATCCCTGTTCTACTGAGGAAAAAACATTAGAGAGTCCCATTGTTGTTGTTATTTTCATATATACAGTTACCTTGCCTTAATTTCGTTTGGATTCACTTTTAGAGCGACTGGGCCGGGGAACTTCTAGTGATGCAGTTCTTTAGTTCGGTAAGTGCAAAAGTTTACAGATCGTGGAAGCAGGACTCGAATCCTAGTCCGACTCCAATGCATTTAAATACAAACATTGTTGTAGATTTCTTTTGTTTTGTTTTTTCAGAGTGGATCAATAAAAAATGATCCTATTAAATTATATGGCGGGTCAAAAAGCTTACCGATGCATAATTGCAGCTTTGGAAGTGAAACATGCATCTTTAAAAGACTTTGCTTACGGTGATAATTTAACGTCAGTCTACGATATACCACCTTTCAGAATACATGAGTATTGATAGAAACAATTCGGTATAAACTGTTAAAAGAACAGCGACAAGATATAATGACATAGTTTTGAATGACATGCTCGGCTCCTAAATTGCGATACTGTTCATGTAACTAGCCTTATTTATACAATTTACGTTGTTCATAAAAGTGCATCGTCAACAATTTCACCAAGTTTAGAATTTTAAAAAAAGTCAATATCAAACAATTGTTAAGTTTTCTTGAATCAGCTGTAAAATTTAAACATAAACCAAACACACTTTCTTCAATGTGGAATGACAAAGTTCTGCTGAAACTCTGTATCAGATAGTCACTGCTGTTCTTTACGACTATGCCAGCCATACAACATGGCTATCCAGACGGCATTCACCAACAGTGCCTGAGATGCAGGAGCTGCGTCGACGGTAGACCCTTTTGTACAAACCTCTAACCTTTCCAGAAGTGCCTTGGCCTCATTGCATTTCAAGATGTCATCGTTAATTTCAATATCTTTTAGAGGTCTTACAAGAAGGATGTCTTTGAGCTGTAAAAAAAAAAAAAATGTTATTAAGTGCTCATTCCATCGATTGGTTGAAAATGGTTATAATTCTTTAATCAGATTGGACATGTAGAAAGGAATATAAATTCGTTAATATCAAATAATTATTTATATATAATAATAGAAAATCAAAATCGACATATTTGGATTATTCAGTTTCGTAAAGTGAAGGTTACAAGTAAAGCAATCTTTATCACAATCGAAGACTTAATCCCTGTCGTGAAGAAATGTCTCACTGGTCATCACCAGTCCGAACACGATTGGTTCGCTTTACAATTTAACATGATGGATACATACTTTCTAAAATACTATATGAACAAGCCATAAACTGTTTCAGGAAAGGCGTATAACGGTTCTGACGTCAAGGTCATCTTATTGGATGATTATCATACGATAATCGTGGATTTATTTACATGGAGACTCCATCTACTGCTTTGTCGGACACCCTAGTCTTTATTGCTTAGAACTACACGTATCAACGAAATGTCATGTTCTCAATGTATGATATGGGGTGGTGGAAACAACAACACAAGGCACAATACTAATGTAGATGCATCCTAATAAAATAATTCGATGTTCATATCACCGATGCCGATTAATTAACTTAGTCGTTAGGTCTAAGGCAGAGGTCAATGTCAAATCAAGGGTCAAAATATAACAGAATAAGTATTTAAATAATTCGAATAAGATTCATTTTCTCTACAATTCATTTGTTTTCTTGTTGAAGAGTGATTAGATTTCATATGCGTTATCCCTTTTCAACCCATGATTTGTTCTACTAATCCAATTCCGCCATTAAAAATTGTGAAGTGATAATTGTGTCTTGTGTATTTGTCAATGTTTGTTTCACAATCTGTCAGATTTTATCCATTCAACGTTTACCAAGCGCTTGCCTCTTTATCAAGTAGAAGTCGTCTGATTGTCTAAACGATCAAGCCGAAGGTAATTGACTTTAAGTTATTGTAGACTTTAGTCATTACGTACGTCTGAAGACATTATGCCCCAAATTAACTGGAAATCGTCATAGGAGGCACAGTAGTCTAGTAGTAGGACGCCGGGCTCGCGACCGTAGGGTTGCGGATTCGAGTCCCGTCACGGCACTGTGTTGTATCTTTGAGCAAGATACTTCACTCCGATTGTCCAAGTCTACTCAGTTGTAAATGAGTACGTGGTTGGGCAGATATTGGCTGGATGCAAAGGCCATATAACCACGAATAATAATTTGTGAACCGCCTTGAAACGACCTACGAACTAGGTTGTGATAAAGCAGTATATACGAACCTGGAATTATTATTATTCTATGATTATTATTAAAATTGCCAGTTTACAATGGGGTCAACAGCTCTCATATGGTGGAAATTTGAACAGGTTATGTAGGTATTGGTTATATCATAGGAACCGCGCAATATGTCAGTTATTGTACGAGAGGGACGGGGCTACTTCTCAAGCGTGTAGCGCGAGAGATTTAGGCCCCGCCCCTCGAGTTCGATAACTGACATATTGCGAGGCCTATGATGTAAATGACTTGTCGCATAAAGTCATACGTGACATTTTTATGGTTAACGTTTGTCATTTTTTTCTAAAACATCACAACATGTCGGACTGCGTCCAAAACTCAAGGCCAGTTTTGCGCACGATGTATATGACAACATGGTTGTCGAATGATGACTCGCATTGAATGTGACCCGAAAAGTATCACTACAACCGATTTTGGAATGTTTGGCAACTTTTTGATATCGGTGGTCAAAGATGAAGAGTAGGAAATGCCCGTTATCGGCCGTTTTCCAAATCCCGTTGGCAGTAAGGACTTAAAAAGTCCAGCACCCAAAGGAGAATGGTCAAACATCGAGGTCGTTTTGTAAAAATGATGGTTATTCTGATTTTGATTCTACAAATGTAAACATTAACATCCCTACAGAAAAGGACATGGTTCCATCTTTCACGTGTCTTTCCATCGAAACACGGACTAAAATGATCTAATTCCGTGTTACATGTTACAAAATGAAAACAAAAGGTTCGTTTGCGGACTCTGTTACGGTGAATTTTGTTTGTTTAATATTTGCAACGTTTTATTTTTCTGAATAATGTTAGTAAGTACATTTTTATTATTAGTTAATTTCCTACTGTGTCATTTCCTGTTCATAGGTTTAATTAATGATTTTCACTACTTGGACACGTTACATTTTAATTGGCAGACCAATGAGGATGGAGAAATGTATTGTGCGCGGTAGAAGGGAGGATCTTCACTCACACAATATGGTATAAGAAAAATTGTGTAAAATTATTTGGTTATACTATGTAGGTAAATCAAAAGAAAAGTGACACGTCTATGTGACAATTTTAGATATAAAACGACATCGATTAGTGGGTAAATATATCACCCTCGATTAGTGGGGTGAATATATCACTCGATTAGTTGGGTGAATATATCACCCTCGATTAGTTGGGTGAATATATCACCCTCGATTAGTGGGGTGAATATATCACCCTCGATTAGTGGGTTAATATATCACCCTCGATTAGTGGGGTGAATATATCACCCTCGATTAGTGGGGTGAATATTTCACCTTCGATTAGTGGGTTAATATATCACCCTCGATTAGTGGGGTGAATAAACCACCACTCGATTAGTGGATGACTATATCACCCTCGATTAGTGGATGACTATATCACCCTCTATGAACGGGTTTTATAAAGTGCACTCCGACAGCGGAGAGTGTTGTTGAGGCCATATTTTGTTTGTTCGACCGATGATAATTACCAGAGGAAATAAGTTGACAGTGGTCTGGTCGAAAAGTTGACGGACTGGCGTAGGGACCTCGGCCAGCACAGCGGCTAGGTAGTAACAGCTTGTGAAGGAATGGTCATCTTGAAACCTCTCTTTTAGGACAAGTTTGTCCGGTTCCTTCAGAATAAACCAATACAGTAAAGAAAATTCATTATCATATGAGTTTAACAAGGAAACTCTTGTTAAAATAACAAATTGTTACGTGTCTTTATTTTAAATGAAAAAATAGGAAGTAAATTTACCATTTATACAGCATTGATGTGTCATTTAGACATCAAATTGCTTAGCAATCTTTTCGAAAGGTATGCTACATTTTGAATATTAGCACATACTGAATTTTAGATATAATGATATATACAGTCAGTAAGACAGTAAGAATATTAGAACACACTAAATTATAAATGTAATGATATATACAGTCAGTAAAGACGTAATATCGAGCAGTATCAATCAAAAAGAAAATCTGTAATTATTCTTCTTAGTGTAAATTAACAAGGTCGCATATAATTTTATTCGGCAAATGTAATAATCAGTTCATTTGTGAATCTATATGCATTTTCAATTGTATTCTGTTGTGATGTGTACGTACCTGGGGTTGAAATTTCGCAAATAGCAAAATCGTGCGGCATTCTGAGGACATTTTATCGGGCTCTTCTACGTCGTCTGGACAGTCTTGCACCCTTTCAAACTGATTAAGAACCGAAAAATGTTTTTAAAAATTATTTTACGAGAAACGTGTAAAATACCCTTCATTTCTGACAAAACAAAAAATAAATTAAGACTAGCAAAAATGGTATTAAGAGATGAATTTATCAGATTTATTTTAAAAACATTGTTTTTAACCAATGAACTTTCTTTCTAAAACCTGTCATGAATAAATATGAAAAGTTTTGACTAAGATATAAAAGCTAAGATGAATAATATTGTGTTCCACGGCCTAATTCATGTAACACCGACACTAATATTCAAATCTGCAACAACAAATATTCATATCTCCAAACCGTCGTAAACGGCCTCATAACTTGGCGTAATTGAAATACCGCATGCCTCACGATCTACGAATATAAGTATGACCGGACTGTCTTAAGGATATAAGCCAACTGCAGGTAAACACGCTGTGTTTTTTTCGTATATAATAAGCATCGACCTATTTTCGTTTGGATATATCGTAATTAGGACAATATACTATCGTTTACCTGGTAGTTCAGTTGTTTCAAGCAACAATATACGAATGTGTGGTTCAGTGTTCGAAACATAGTCTAGCCGCGCAGAACTGTACACACATATTTCACGGATTAGAAAACCTATGCCGTGACCCTCCTTACCATAGACCCTTCAGCCAGCCGGGAACATTCTGAATTGTCCATTAGGTATGAAAAAGTCAACCTACCAAACGACATAAGTAATATATGTCCTCGTTAGAAATGGATTTAAATGCATCAGCCACAGATTTGTCTTCCATTACAGGTCGGAGAAGTTTTTCTATCTCATTGAAGCTTTCTGGGAGCGTGGGATCAGGCATCGCTACAATAGTAATAATTGCTTCATTTATTATGAAAATAGTGATATTCATAAACATAAGTTTCATTCATTCCCGCTATTTGTGAAACAAATCTTAATACATTATAATAATCCGAGCGAATCTAACTGTGGCAGGAAACCAGAGTACCCAGAGAAACCCAATGTTGCCTGGAAGGTGACCAAACACATTTGCACATTTTACTGGAGAATCAATTCACCCATTTACAGTTACATATTCTCATTGACTTTAAATATTAGCCTATTGTATTTTGTATTAGGGGCAATACAGAGAAAGTGTCATTAAATTCAATATAAACTTAGTGATTGCTTTTTGTCGGCGAGCATGCGATACAAAACTTCTCAAAATCTGTTGTTAAACTATAATAAAAAGGAAATTCTTGGATTGGACATCCATATGAACGAACATCGTCTTCAACATGTTGTTCTCTTAAGTAAATAATTATATTTTCAGGATGAAATATAGATATATTGGTTTTTGGTTTGTTTATATTTTAATGTCCTATGGACATCTATAGTTATTTAGGGACGTGCCAGGTTTTGGTAGTAGAGGAAAAGCGGAGAACCCGGAGAAAACCACCGACCTGCGGTCAGTACATGGCGACTGCCCCACGAACATGTACATGTGCATCTAGGCCTCGAATCCGCGACCAAGTGGTCGAGGGCTTCTGGTAGCAGAATGTCAGACGCTTTATCCACTTGGTAACCGCGGCCCCGAGATATATTGATATGACATATTGAAAAGATATATATCTAAAGATATATATCAGTCATTATAGTTTAAGGTTAAGCTTTAACTAAACCATAGTGTACATTTATTTTAAGAAAAACTATGTTACAACAAAAATGAGGAGATATATTACATATGATACCATAAACCCTATTGAAAATATAGCACACCACCGATAGTACTATTTGCATGTACAATACAAACGACAATTCTTCATCCAGTCAGATAAATAGCATACAAATATACCATCGGACACAGAAAACTGCTGGAAGTGATATTACCAACGCCAGTATTACATATTGCAGAACATATAACATACACATGTACCACCGGAAATACTAAGAACTGCCGGAAACGATGTTGACCAGCGCCAAAATTACATGCTGCCAGAAAATATAACCTACTATCTTAAATACTGCAAGCTTCCGGAAATTATAAAACCAATAGTTTGGTATTCTGCTTAGAATTATCTTCTATTTACAAAAATCGTATAGTTGAGTTAATCGACTATCTGTGCCTTCCGGCCTCGTTCTGGTTAGAGTAAAAAAAAATATGGCTGACTAGCATGTTAGTTTATCACACACAAACAACAAAACATGACAAATATTACATTCTGCGAGAAATATTACATACTACCGGAAATACTGCAAGCTTCAGAAATTAATACTTATTAATGCAAATATAACATATTGCCCGAAATATAACATATTTTGGCTACGCTGAATACTATGGAAATGCAACCTATTATCGAAAATACTGCATCACAAAAGAACATTATCTTCGAAAAGTACTGCTTATATTCGCGATATTATAATTACCGGACAAATTTCACGCCGAAAAAACATGCTAAAATAGTACATACTGCTAGAGAAGTTTCCGCTTGGTGAGTCATCTACAACCTTGTCCTCTAAGAACCCTTTAGAGTCTTCCTTTGCGTCAATGCGTCCAGTCGGGTCTACCTCAAGCGGTAACACCTTGTAGAGAACGAGTCCATTTATGACTGCCTCAGTCTTTTCACATGTCTCGTATGTACCGCCCACCTGAACAGAGTCCTGAAAACAGCTTCAGAGATTCAGATAAAATTTTAACATGAGGTTTGAGATTAGCGGTGGAGTATCGTGATTGCAATTGATGTGGAACACACCCTTTCGCACAAGGCGTTGAAGAAAAACATATTGTTGCTTGTGTCGTGCAAGTTATTTTATTAATATAGTGACAGTGAAAACCAGACATGCTGCGTAAAAAACATGCAAAGGTCCCTAACAGCTATTTGCTAGCTGTTCTAGCAAAGGAAAATGCATACGTTATAAAGTGACAGTGAATCCTATTATCAATGTTTCCCATACCAATCAACTTCCTACCCAAAAATTGTAGCTGTGTTAACTTCACTTCCAAATCTGCCACCCTTGACAGTTTCATAATAAAAACCGTAATTCTGGTGTGCAAGAAAGCTTTACATTGGTAAGCCAGTCAAATCATGATATGTTCGTGGGTACCTTCCTTCGTGGTTTGAAGCCATTAAGAACGTTTCGTGGTACAAACTTTCTTGGATATCCTTTTTTTTATAAATAGTAGACTCGTATATCATTCAAATTCGTTGTATTTACTTTTGTTGTTCAATAGCAACCACGAAATCACGAATGTTTATACACAACGAACATTTCATGTTATACAGTAGGGGAATGAAAATGTCATTCATATCAATATATTAAAGAAAAGGCTAGCACCTGGATTAAAGTACTAATCAAATATCAGAAATTACATACAGTCTCTTATTTACAGGAACTGTCAAGACCGATTTGGAACCCGACAACTGGATTCAGCAGTTCCAAGCGCTCCAGTATTATGCTCAGAGAACTACATGGCCCTTTGCCACTTGATTTACATCTATTATAAGCGAATATCTAGTTTATTGTGAACGTATAATATGGCTTTCCCTCCTTTTCCATTTCATTTTTCTTCTTGATCCGGATCATGTTTTTCTTATATCGGAAAAAGGAAAAAAAGGTTTTCTCATCACCACAAAATAAGATTACTAGAGCTTAACTAGAACACTGACTGTTCAGCAACGGGCATGCCATGTGACTAAACGACTCCCGCCGTCTATTTTAAGTAACAGTAACATTGACCTTAAAAACCTTTAACCCAATATTATACAATCTACAGTATATCGCGATGTCAAATTAAAAACAAATAGACTTTTTAATTTGGAGATTAGGACTGAGCTACCCACAGTATATATTTAAGAAACAGTGATATTGACCTTAAAAAACATAAACCCCTATCGAACAGCTACATTTCACAGTGTATCACTATGTCAAATTTCAGAAAGTTTCCGTGATATGAAGCCACACGCCAAATTGGTGAACTTCCGAACACAAATACGAAAGTGATTGTGCGGAAAGTCATAAAAACGCAATGTTTTGCCATTCAAAGTCCCAATAATCTTGCAAATATTTCCGGGTTTTACTGGTTATATGGGACCACACACAAAACTTGAACATCTAACTTCAAATACGTAAGTAACTGTGCGGAAATCAAAAATGGATAGACGGAAGGATGGACGGATAAGATGATTACTATAGGGAACCTAAATCATACCAATACATCCGAGGGCACTACATTTGATTGCAACTTTAGGTCCCCTCCAATCTGTCGCCTTGTTTCTACAACAGCCATTTGGTCAGCTTGATCCTCATAAGTGGCGGCTTCAACGATTTCACTGATGATACAGGGGATAGCCGTTTTGTTTTTCTTTACTTTGATATAAGATGAATCCATGTTAAGTTTCCTTATGAACAAAAACAAATCGTACATTAATAACAAAGAGTATTTGTGAAAAGATTTTAAATATGTAGTCATTTGGCATTATTTAACAAATCCGTGCAAAATCGTCTAAATATCTCAATTTTTCTTCAGAATATCAAGTTAATAATTAAAGATATAATGTCAAGAAAACATATTGACTTTTATGACAATTCATGAGAACAAAACCTTATCTGAAAGATAGGCCAAATGAGTGGGTGGGTAGAGATGCCTGAATTGTTCGGAACATTACCACTAAATTTAGTTTCTGAATAATAAACCAAAAGGATTAAGATGTTTGATATAGCATTAAGGCTATGATTTGACTTAACAATTTCACGGCGGATGATAATACGTTAACATCATTGTAAATCACGAGGGAGCAACAATCTAAATGATTCAGTTAATCCTATAAATACTTATTACCGTAATTTTAGATTGTCTTCTAGATCTTTTCTATTGATTCTGGTGATAGTTAATTCTGTAGCTGGTATCTTTGCATGATGACTTTGGTCAGCGTTCCCTGTAATACTGCTAATAACTTTAAGATAAACTCCTTGTTTTTTATCGTAGGTTTTCGTAGGTAATGACTCGCTAGAAGTATCACATCTAAATTTGAACTTAACACCACCTTCATCACCTTGAAGATATTCTTCCAACTGAAAAGAGACAATTTAAAAAATTAATATTTAACTATTAACACTCTAGTTTAAAAATGAATCAATCTAAAATCAAAGTTTAGGGAGAAAACAACACCACTTAAAATGTTTTAAATAAACTCATAAAACAAACGGAAAATGACCAAACAAATACAGGAATAAAATTTGGAATCTACACGTTATGCTCACACACAAGATTTGCCGTCCACATACGTATAATACAGGATGTTTGTAGGTAATATTGTTATGCCTGATGGCTGGCTGTGTTCTTCAATAACAACACAAAGATCGTCCGAGTTTTCAGTGCAACCTTTTAATGGCGGTAAAACTCAACGATCACCGGATAACGTGCTTCCGCGTCTAACATCAAATCCGGGGACCGGACCCCGATTTCCGGAAGAGGTAAATCCGCATTACAATATTGTTAGTTACACAGATTTTTGCCAGGGTATACGGGATGGTATGACCCTACAGGATTTCGTATTTCCTTCGGCCTATCGGCCTCAGGAAATACAAAACCCTTTAGAGTAACACCATCCCGTATCCCCTGCCAAAAATCCGTGTAACGAATTGATTACCCCTTTGAGTCTTTTATAATAAAAACAAAGAAAGCGAAGCGAAACGTTTTGCCATTTTGTAAACAGCGAAGCAGACGACGAATGCGAGTTGTCTCCCATTGCCCGGCCGCAAGATACAAAGACACGTGACCCGTATACCCCCTTGTAAAATCACGTGATTCCACCGTATTAGTGCTGAGAATCAATGACCGTATACCCCCTGATATTTTCGTATACCCCCGGAGATTTACGAATGCGGTTTGGTACACTGTAGTTTTTAACAAATCAGATTCCTAGATTTTTCTCAAAGGGGTAATAATATTATTTATGCGAGAACACAATGAACACACGATTAAATGACAAAAGCGTGAAGCTGAGGATAATTTATAAACTGAATACTAGATAATATGTATCCGAGTTAGAAATCTCCTTTCATACATGTAGCTCACCGTTTCATGTGTTGCCTCATAACTATATTTCGCAAATGCTGGTAATATTCTCTTTAAAATATGTCGTTTACGTTTCCATGCAAAATTTCCAAGTTTGACACCTCCCAATGATTGAACTGTCATCCATCCCTTACTTGATTCCTTCCTTCCCTCAAGAACATGTTTTCCGTACTCAATGCGGCTCAGCATCTGTACATTAAAAATAAAGCTGTATGTGATTTCTGAAAAAAATGACGTAATATTTTAATGGGGCGCGATAAAGGAATCAATAAAATTTATGAAATGTAAGAAATCAAAACAAAAGATATCATGTTTTCCTGCGAATAAGTGAATGACATGGTCAGTCTTAAGATTAATAGATGTCTCATCCACAGGGTGAAGCACACTGTGCCTTCGATTTGTTTCATGATATGGTGAGCGTAACCCCTGCAATATCGCGGAAGCCAGTTGAGTAACTAATGTATGTAATGAGTGTTGCAGAATAACGAAACAACAGTGAAAATAATAGTCAAATGTAATTCGTGTTCAACCATTAAATTGTGTATCTATTTATGAGTTAAGTGCAACTACCAAAATATTGACGCATAAAACAGTTCACGTACAGGACGAAAATTGAAATGTTGTACATGGACGAACCTGAATTGAAGGTTCAGCCAGTCAGACAATATGTAATATACATGTAACATAATATTATGTGTAGTCGAGAACTGATCTGCAAGTTAATTGTGGAGCATGGGTTTCTGTAAGTAAGTGTGAGAGCATGTATTTCTGTGTTAGTGCGCTTGAGTTAGTGTTTTGTTACGTACAATATGCGTCTTTGTCCGTGTGAGAGATGTGTGTTCGTGAGACCGATTGTACACACCGGCAATTGCAGTACAATGAACCGGAACAGTGACAACCCCTGTCCTCAAAACGCACCGTTTGTACAAATTATATGATCCCCCTTCAATTAGTATTATTTACAAGTCCTCAGTAGATGCCATCAATCATTACTAACTGTGTAACTGTGTAACATAGTTCAGGAGAGTACATAATTTACTTTTTATGCACATTCAAATTCATCTTACCAAAAATATACAGTAGAAATTAACTTGAAATCCAATTTCACAGATGTGTACATAACTATGCAGGAATGACCGTACGAGTTCAATTAACCGAAACATAAACCATTGTCTTAATTAATTTTCCAAAAATTTCAACTCATCTGTTCAGGGCTCTGGAAAAAACTTTTGAAACCACTGTCAGGTGGACAAGTACATGGCAAAAAGTACTCGTCCAAACAGAAAAACCACTCGTCCAGGAAAATAACAAATAAACATGAAATCTAGAGCTAATCTCAAAAATAAAAAGGCAATATTTTGTTTGGCAACATAAGCAGCAGTGGCGTAACACACTTGTATGCTCAAGCATACACTAACATTTCAAGATTATTTTTGATCTTATATTTTTATTAATTCATGTTTGTTTATAATTTATATTCTTCGTTCGTTTCAATCATAAAAAACCAGGTTAAGAATAAAAACAAATCATGAAACTTTTAATCTTATTAAATAGTTTTTTTCTATACACATCGAATAATCTCGAAGATTTATGTAAATCAAAAACTACTTTGTGAAGTACTAAATTTGATATTAATCATATAAAAAGTCAGGTTTTATTTGTTAATATTCAGACTAATAGATTTTTCTAAGAATACGAGATTGCTTCTAGGCCCTACTGGTATTCTTCCTGCGGTAAATATAAGTTCTGTTTTAAGAACGACGAATATTTCCGGATGTCTCTGCACTCATCCAGACCAGAAACCAGATGCTCATTTCGGGTTGTTTCTGGACATGTCATAAATGGGTTTATTTATAATTTAAACACAGCGTAGAGCAAACTACATAAGTGGATTTTAACTTTGATGTTTAGGAAAAGTACTCGTCTGCCAGACGAGTTGTTAGTCCAAAGCACTTGCCAAATCTGCCTTCCACTCGTCATGGACGAACGGACGAGTGGTTTTCCAGAGCCCTGGGTCACTTTTGCTCATTTGATGAATTTGACTCACCGTAAAAGAATAACAGACAGGGATGTCATGTGTGGTTGTATGGTAATTATCTTGTTGTGTAGTACATTAAACAGGAACTTTAAATCTTACCACACAATATCGGATGAGCAGGTATCGTTTGTATGATATCGTGCTGGCCAAGTACAAATAATTACATAAATGCATCTTCACACAAATACGTACCCTTCCTGTTCACGCCGTGTCGCCACAAATGATGATATACCTCTATACACTTTTCAGAAAACCCAGACGTGTACTGATTCTGCGAATAAAAATATAGGTAAAATCATATCATGGCCCACGCTACTTTTGTGTGGATAGTGTCATTACTATTGTGTCAGTACTATTTGATCTCAACGACTTACCCGATCAGTATGTATGCGTCAGATGAGATACGGGTATGCCTGATGTGCTTGTCAGTAGATATGACCTCAATGCATGTGTTTATATGTAAATATAACAATATGTTTACATATACATGTGTAGGTACATGTGTAAATATGTTACAGAGACTTGTAAATATATTGTTCACACATAAGGATAGATTGTAAGTGGTGACGAACGGATGTCCAAAATTAAACTCCTTCGCCGACACACACCGACACTTTAGACTATAAACATTGAAGTACTACTTACCCGACTGATTATCACATATGTATAAATCACTTATATTGTCAACGTCCGCCCACATGAGACATACGTACCTCTCCAAAATTGAAATAGATATTAAGTCTCCCTTATGGACACTATTTTTAAAATTCGGCGAAACCAAATCTTCGTCAACCGACACATCGAGCCCCATTATGTTCCACACTTGATAAATTTGACTCAACGAAACAGAAAAACAGGTATTGATATTAGGTGTGGTTGTATGGTAATTATCTTGATGGTGTAGTACACTTAACATGAACTGTCAATCTAAACACACAATAACGCATCAGCAAGTATCGTTTGAATGAGGCATTGAGGCACGCGTACATACCTCTCCAAAACTAAAGCAGTTTTTCGTTTGAGTTGCCGTTATCTATTCACACTATTTTTAGAATCTGCGAAACAAAATTCATATGCCTGGGTTTTTTTATCATACATCACCCGACACAGCGGGTCCCATTGTGTTTAACTAAGCGTTAAATATATATTACGTGACTCTTACATGTTACAAACACAACTGAAGGTGTGTAGGAGTGTTTAATTTTCTGTCTTCTACTTAAACGTTAGGTAAACACGCTCGAATACCCTCCAAAACATACAGTATCCCCTTACCCTTTATTACTAAATGGTTATTTTCATTAAACATTCAAAAGCATGGTTAGCTTTTCAAAAACCTGTCGATACATGTCACAGTGTCAACGTTCCAGGATTTATCAAACAATGACAATGTGTACTTAAACATACTAAGTAGCTGTCTGTCAGGATGTTATAGTTTTGTGCGTTTGGTGATTGAGTTGTTGATCATCACGAGAAGCGATGTCGGGTTTTTAAGCGTATATGACTATGGTGACGTACAACGCATGGCAGTTCGTCCTTTCGCTTTATCGCCCACGAAAAAAAGCCAAGCGACAAAACAAAATACGGTAAATTAAAAAAAGACAAAAACCGTCAAAGCAAAATGAAAATAAAAAACCGCAAAACCGTAGTAAAAATAATGCCAAAGCGTAGAAATAAAAAAGACATCTTTTCTTCCTCCTTTTGGCGTCAGTCCGTTATTTCCCTTTGCTGAACTTTCGTCTTTTCGTTAATTCGTGTTGTTGCTTTGTGTTTTTTCACGGGCGAAAAAGCGAAAAGCCGACATGTCATATATACATACTAGTATGTATGCCACCATATGTGACCGTGATAGAGACAGGTTTAATTTGTTTATCAGAGAGAAGTCTTGTTACCATACATGTGTAAAAGAAATGAGGTGGATATGGTCACGTGCAAGACAAACGTAGAAATAAGAGATAGATATGTTGTATCGACGAACCTTAAGTCAAGAATCAGCCAGTTAGACTTGAGGAAACCAGACAATATGTAATATACATTTAACATAATATTTTGTGTTGTCGGGAATTTATCAGCAATTTCATTTTTAAGCGTGTGCCTTTGTAAATATATCTGTCTATGTTTGTGTGTTTATGTAACTTTGTTGTTTCGTAAAATGTGCGTCTTGTACGTGTGAAAGACGTATGCTAGAGAGCGAGACGTGTATTCGTGTGACTTAGACCGGGCATACACACCGGCTATATATCGCGATGGAATGAACCGGAGCAGTGACAACCCCCATCCTAAAAACGCACCATTTGTGAGAATTATATAAAGCCCCTTAAATTAGAATTACTCACAAGTCTTCAGTAGATGCCAACAATCATTACTAACAGTGGCACACACATGTAGTCCAGGAGAGAACATAAGATACTTTATCATATAACTCCCCTATTATGCAGTGTATTAACTTATATTGTATGACCTGGAGCGATTTGGATTCGTTGAAAGCATCACACGTTCCGACGATTGTAAATTACTCCGCACTAAGTCTCGTACTGTCATGGCGGACGCACAATTTCAAGATGGTTCCATGGAAATGTGCATTCTGTGTTTAGTTACCGTGAATATTTCAGCATAAACATTAATCAACTATCTCCGACATCATTTCCCAAACCAGTGAAACGACGTAGGATTATCGAATCGGACAGTGATATTCAGTCTCAGTGAAGCTGTTTGAGGTTATTTTTTCAAAAGTAATTTGTTACAGTTTTGATATTTCTTAACTATATTTTGATAGTAGTGCAAAAAACAGCTAATGAAATGACGGATGATGCAATTGTTTCTTTTATCGAATGAAATAACAGTATTTCAGTCATATGATATAAATGATATTAAACTTGTTTCCATGTCATATGAGATTTATATACCTTCAACTCCAAATTTTAAAGTAGGAGTTCAATTGAACGAAACATTGACCATTGTTTTACTTAATTATTCAAATCTTTCAACTCATCTTTTTCTCACTTGATGAATTTGACTCACTGTAACACAATAACAGGTTTGAATTCCAGGTATGGTTGTATGAGGAATATATATATATGAATATATATCGGCGTCATCACTGGCTTGTGATGCCTTATGGCGGTTTTAATTGGCCGCACCTTTACAGAAAGGTATTTCACTTCGAATTTAAAAGTCAAAAGAAAACAAAATAAGGAAAGAGAAATCATTCCAAAAACTAATCAAAAGAAGAAAACAAAACGAATGATTACTTTGTGTTTTGATTTTGTAAACAGAGCTTTGCTGCATGTTTGGTAGTTAAAGAGTTACCATCTCACAGCTGCTTTGGAGGAACATGAGAAAAGATGTAGGACACGAAATCCTGTTTCGTAGTATACTAAAAGATGATTATCAAATCTAAACACACAATATCGCAAACATGAACTTTAAATCTAAACACATAATATCGCTATAACAAGTATCGTTTGTATCATATCGTGCTGACCAAGTACAAATAATTACATAAATGAATTTTCACACAAATACATACTCTTCCTGTTCACCCGGTGTCGCCACAAATGATGAACCAAGACGTGTTCCGATCCTCGAAATGAAAAAATAGGTCAAATCTTATCGTGACTCACGCTCCTTTTGTGTTTATAGTGTCAGAAATTTCAGCATAATCAGAAATGACGATGTAAAATGTTACACTACATGTAATGGTGTAAATGTAGTATGAGGAGGTCCGGAGAGGGTTTGCATCCGTTGTCACTCAGTTAAATCCGTTTCGTGATCGTATAGTTCTTGGTAACGAGTCGACAACTTCCCCTGCAGTCCTCTCTAGACCTCGCCTCTTTCGTCAGGTTACAGACGACCTGTTTTTACTACAGGTTCGAAAACTGGATGTAGTGGTTATACCAGCAATTGATTCAATAACTCAACAAGGCGTTTAAAATACAAGTAACTGTTTATTAACAAGACGGAATGAATACATATAACAAGTTTAACAACGGAAGATCATAACATTAGCGTCGAACAATGACAGCTAATGTTAAGTAACTCAATCCCTATGTCAAACAATTGGCCTATTCTGCCTAACAATACTATCAATACCAGTAGACTACAACAAAGTACCCCTAGATACCTATTCCGTCTTTGCGTATTGCAGAGTTATCTTCTCTTGAGAGCAAGTATTGATTGTTACGTCATGTGTTTTTGAGAGTAACGTCATCAATTTTTGAGAAAACGACGTCATTTTCTCACACAAACCAATGACGTAACAATCAATACCTGCTCTCAAGAGAAGATAACTCTGCAATACGCAAAGACGGAATATATCTACAGCGAACCACTATGTATCGATGTCTAAGCCAGAAGCCCCTGACTATTCCTCCATACATATACTGTAGTTCCTATAGCACTCTATACCGTTAAATCCAAGGAAAGATAACTCCACGTGGTCCTACGGTATTGGTACTGTTAGCAGCACTTTGGCTTAGGTTGCACTGTTAGCGGCGCATGAAGCGGTAAGGTTTCCCCTACCTGAAGCTGTGGGTCGGTTCACCGACCCTGTCAAGACACTGAGCAACCCAAGAACATGATATTTTATAGCCTCCTCTATGAGTTCCGCTTTTACGATTGGCCAAACCATTTATGCAGAGTAAAGTAAGAGATGAAGCCGAACTTCTCTACTTCCGTTTCCTGTCTCGTAAGGCACTTCTAACCGATAACTTGCTAAATACGGCTATGTAAACAAACAGACAGACAGAGAGTAGCGATTGAACCACAGGAAGTATATGCTGTAGAAAAGCCCTACCCGACCCATAAATATGAAACAGATATAAAAGAAAAACGTCCTATTCCATGGGTAAAACTGAAGTGGTAGTTAAGGCACTTTCCATTTAAGTGTAACATAACACTAATTTTTCCAGTGAAAGTTTACACTAAAATGGTGGCAGCTCAGCTGCCACCATTTTTGGTGTTACTCTCCACATTATTTTATACAGTGCATGGTCTCAATTATAATGATGATATTTCTTGTCAAATTTTGGCTCGCTTCTTCTGCTGTTATCGTCATTTTTGTTAAGATATAAATAAGCGCTTTTGCTCTTCAGTTTAATTACTTAAAATTGTTTTTTTATGCAGAACAGTTTAACATTTAAGAATGCAACTTCATTAATTTTTATTTTTGACTTGTTACATGTACATATGTTGCTTATGACCACTAGCCACTTAAGTATGTAGCTTATCAATAACACCGTACTGTATTCGAATACCCTAAAATCAGTTAAGGTAATAGGATTGTGTCACCATTTCTCAGTAGAATTTCTTCAAATTTTGTAGTTATATTGCTTTAAAGTAAAGAAAATTTTCTGCAACAAAAACAATATAGGTTGTCAGAATTTACAGGATTTTAAATGGTAATTTATGTAAAAAGGAGTGAATTTTGAAAAAAAAAATGAAAGACACAATATTTTGACAAAATAATGTCAATAAAAATGATACTGACATAAATTAGTATTGCATTAATGTATATCAATTTAATAAATGGTGAAATTGTGTAAAATTAATTTTCTATACACGATATAAAAATTGACATTTTATAATAAAACCATATACACATAGTAATTGCAGGCAAGAGTTGTCGTTCTTGAAAAAAATCACAGTAGTGAACTAGGTAGCCGGTTTCCAGAAGTACAGAAAAATGGACACATGTGACTCATTGATAAAAAAACATGAATTATTACCTGGATTGCTTTGAAATACTTTAATATTGAGAGAACACACTGTTCTGTCAATAATAAACATACAATATTCATCAGTTTAATATTAAACATTAGTATTTTCGGAAATTGTGATACTGTCTCCCTACATTGGATTTTCAACTAGGGATGTACTTCCTGTTTCCGTTTATCAATATACTCCAATGACCTTAAAAACAAGCATGGAATCAAATATAATCCGAAAGTAAACATGCTTTGAAAATAGGCCGGCTTTAAAAAAAAATCTATCCTTCAAAGATTGTGCAAATCAAAGATCTTTTTTTGTTAAACAATGACAACCTACTTGATGTATGTAAGTTAAAAGATTACCTGTCTTCTATGCATTGTTTTCTCATCGAAATGATCGAAAAAGAACACCTGAACGTTTTAATGGCACGGCATTCTATTAATGACTTCTAGTACGACACAACATCCAAAGAGAGATAACTCCTATAGCCTTGATATCTTACATAATGTAAACTTGACACTGTTCAATGGCTTTGAATATTTAATTACAATGCTCT